ACGAAGAGAGAGAGGCAGAGAGAGAGAGAGAGATGATTTATCAATCAATTCTATGCTCATGATATTTGGTATGTAATGTACATGCTATCTACTTTCTTCTCTCTCTCTCTCTCTCTCTCTCTCTCTCTTTTGAACCAACCTCCAGCTGATGACTTATGTGACTGAAGGAAGTTGGGTCCAAATTGGCTGCTGTGATGACTTCTGAAAGAACTGCTTCCTTTTTCTCCAAGTGTTCTGATACCTGGGAAAAAATAGTACAATCTTTATACTGGTTTTATTACTAAAAGAGCTGCCATTAATGTTTAACCCCCAAAAGATGAAAAAATACAGTGTTGAGTGTGTAAAGGATGATGAACAAAATATAGTCTCTTCTGAAAAAATGAAAATTACTTTTGCATTTTTTGCCGTGTACCAAAGACTCGAAAACAACAATGCTGAGCAATATGTGCCCAAAAGACTTTATTTAGCAAATTGAAAAATTAGTAAAATGAATTTTGACATCTGCCCTTGATAACAACCATTGCTAATTATGACAATTCCTATAAATCATTCTTTAAGGGTTTATGAATATAATTTGCTACAGAAAACACTTGATACTTTGCTTTCAACTAACTATATGAAGACAATTATCATCAAAATAAATTTCTGTAACATCATCAAAATTATCAATAACAAAGTCTTTCACCAAACCTGACTCAGTCGTTTCTCCAGCACAATATTTCTCAATTCGCTGCGCTGTTGTACCTCTCCAACAACAGCAACAAAGTGGTCATACAATTCTTTACGTTCTCGCTCAATCTGCAATGAATAAGCATGAAAACCTTTTAACCTTTGGGACAGAAAATAGTAAAAAATGGAATGGTAGCTTAATTTCTTGAAGTATTATAGTTTTTATCAATAAAATATGTCATTATTATTACATATGAGGATATGCATGTCTAAAGGTGTTCTAAGACTAATTGCCCAACACTGCTTGCCTTATATATGAAAGTCTAAATTATCAAATAATTTGGTAAACACATTGTTGGTAAACCAGTCTGAGAATAGCTTTCGATGTGCATAACCTTATATATTGTTTGATGTTATATATCATATATCATGTTTACATATTATCTTCATTATTACATAATATATCATTCAAAATTAACTACACACATGTATTATTGTGAAAACTATTTACTGTGGCTGACTAGACATATGAGTAACAAAACTATTAGTAGTTTGCAATCACCTTCTAAGGGAGTATTATGGCAATATAAGAAAGGCTGATTTAGTCTACTTTCCTGAAATATGTGTTTAATCACCTTACCCTTACACCCATAACCAATAAAATTATTTCTTTATTACTTAGTCTCATAGCTAACTGATTTTTGAAATTCTACAAAGTATTCTATCAAAATAACTAGCATATTTGGGGGATTATCTTTTCAAACAAGGTATTGTGAGTGATATTGATGTTGCCAAAAGCCTTATAACCCTGTACTTTAATCATTCCACATTTTTCACATAAAAAAAGAGAAAACAAGCAGGTGAGCTTGACAGAACTCACTCCTCATTCTACTTACAGTTTCTGCCTTCTGCCGCATAACCTCAAGTTCCCACTGTATGGATTCTTTCTCACTGGTTAACACCTTTACCTGGGCCTGACTTGTCTAAAATGCAAGGTACACATACATGAGTACATATAAACATACATCTAGAGATATATAGATTCGCTAAATAAAGGCATATTTCTCCATACAACTGTAAACTGAAATACAGGCTAGGCATAAATATTAACATGAACATGCATACATAATATCTGTAATTCCCAATGTTTACACCTAATTATATCTATTAGTCAACATATCTGTCAGTCTCTGTCTAAAGAAAAAATGTAGAAAAATATTAAGTGTATACACAAATAATACCCCCAGTCCTTCGGTATTGTGGGACCCTGGTTGGGAATTACTGTACTGAATGGCTCAGATGAAACAGAAACACATACACAAACATACTCAAAACACACGACATACACAAATACACATACATGAGCACACACATGCATAACTACACACAGACCCACAGATCCCCCCCCACCCCCCCCACACACAAAACATGCCCAAGAGCATTCCTCCTGCTTACCAGGTAACTCTCCTTATCCCTCTGTGAGCGCTGGACAGACCTTTGCATGTCTGTCAACTTCTTGCGAAGGTTAGCCGCCTCAGCCTCTAAGCGTGCTCGACTGGTGATAGCTGCTCCCATCTCCTGCTCCAGTTTGTGTTCACGCTCCTTTTGCTCTGCTAATTCAGCCTAGAATTGCCATAAAGGAGTTTACTTTAAATCACTGAGATATTTACTTCTCTCTTATGAAAGATGGTGTACTTGTTTTTCTACTATTTAAGTATTTTCAGTGATAAACTTCATGATTTAAAAAAAAGATCATCAGTAGCAATTCATTTCAATATTCAATTACATTAAAGAAACAAATTCAGCTAATCAAGCTCTTTCCCTTACTTTACACAATATAACCTTTGGTACTGATCATACACACACACACACACACACACACACACACACACACACACACACACACACACACAACACACACACACACACACACACACACACACACACACACACCACACACACAACACACACACACACCGCGCACACACACAACACACACACACACACACAAACACACACACACACACACAAACACACACACACACACACACACACACACACAAAAAAAAAAATGCAGACATGTAGGTATGCACATACATGCACAAACAGACCTTAAGCTCCGTGATGAGCTTGAGAGATTAGTAGCTGATGTCGGTGTAATACTTCTTCATCTCCTCAAAGGTTTTTCATGGTTAGAGATTATGCTGGAGAGGAAATTATTCTTCTTCTCCTCCTGTGCAACCAGCTCTGTCTTGCGCTTGAGGTCCAGCTGAGTCTGTAGGGCCTTGATGCGTTTCACTGATTTTGCTTCCATTGCTGCTTTCTGCCTCAAACTCCTGCCTTAGAGCATCCAGGGCCTTACTGTTCTCCTGGATGAGGGTGAGGGGGAAACATGTCACATTGCTTTTGTCTAGGAAAAATAAAGGGAAAATGACACAGTCCAGCATGCATCACTCTAATGAAAGAAACAACGTTAGAATGAGAGTGAATAACTCTACCATGCAAGTTCTTCTATCATAGATTGGAATCTGAGAAACTGTGTGCCTATTCACAATATGCTATATTGTTATTACATCACATTATCATAATTGAAGGTGACTATATGAAATCTTGGTTATTAGGCAATTTATATACAATATGGAGCTAGATCACATTCTATTAAGACTTTGGGGAGGTAGCTGAGAGTTTGATCATAGTAAAAGAGCGCCATGGAAACTTCCCATGGGTTGTCAAGAAGAACATAGGAGTCTAGGCTTAAGTATTAAAACAGTTTCCTTATAACCCTTTACAACAGTCATTATGAACAAGGCAATTGTTGATCTGACTGATTTCTAGGACCTCAGTGCTAAATGCCCTGAGAGAAAAGGAGAGTCTAGACTAGGGTTAGCCATACTAGGATAAAGAAATGTGCAATATAAACAAACAATGTGTGCATATGTAATATCAAAACATAAATCACAGATCTTGCACTGCAGAACTACTCATTCTCATTAATAACTCTTTTGCATTCAACAAAAACAAACTCAGTTCAAGTCAGCCCCATTCAGAAAAAAAAACTATTTAACCACATACCACTTTCATATTGGCAATGATGGCAAGGTAATTTGCTTCCGTTTCCCTTAGCTGCCTCCTCAGGTCTTCCCTCTCCTGGATAACGGCGGTTCTCCTCTGCAACTGCATCCTGGTGCAGGTTGAGCAGGCTCTGCTCACTGTCCACCTGAATGCAAAATTGTTTAGAGACATGTTATGATGTACATGTAAAAGGCTACAAAAATGATGATATCTTATATGGTAAATATTGATTATGTTGCAGATTTCAATATGATTTAGTAAAATAAAGATGTCTCATGTATCCATAGAATACATCATCTGACAAGGAGGCTTTCCATATACAAAGGGTGGATAACCAAATGACTGAATTATGCATCTTACTTTCTCAATAAGATTTATTAAGAGTTAGGGAGATTAGGTTCCTGACCATTGTCTTGACCTGTCCTTAAATATGGAGAAATACACTATTACTTATTACTTCACAAATTTCTTGGCAGAAGTTCCTGCCATTTAAACTCAAAGGCCTATTAGCTTGAGGTACATCACCAAATTTCCCTGACATCCAAGCATTAAGACAGCATTTACCTGTGTGCCAAGGATTGGGCAGTGCTCCACATACTTGGTTCCAATACATACCATACTCTTAGGCTGTACTTTTAAAACTTCGCCAGTGCTGGTGTTCGCCTGGCAAAGCTACACCAGCGAACCTCTGAGTGAGGGAGGCTTACTTTTAAACCCAACGTTCGCCAGGGCAGGTGAAGGGATCGCCAGGCGCTAACATCTTGCATTCTCGCTAAATCTAGCGCAAATTTGTTTACATCTGCAGTGCACATAGCATAACCTAAACTTAATCATTAACCTCGAGAGAAGACGAAAATGTTGTTTCTGCAATAGTCTCACTTTATACTATAACAAAGGAGTTAAATTTTAACTTTGTGCTATAACAAAGTTGAAAATATCTTTATACTATAACAAAATCAACTTTATACTTTATGCTATACTACACTTTATACTATAACAAGGTTTACTTTATGGCCCTGTACTTTTAAAACCTTTTGCTTTTTCTCGCTTTTTTTCATTCACCGAAGCACTAGATTTAGCAGGAATCCAAGATGTTAGCGCCTGGCGATCCCT